CAAAAGCATATGCTTCATATCTTGAACAACATATGACAAGTGGTACACCGTATATTAAAGGTCTTTATTATCCAATCAATGAACGAATTAAAGGTATAAAAAAAGATGAACTTATAAAATTAATTCGACAAGCAGGGCAACTTATTCTACAAGGATTTTCATTACCAGTACAACCTCGAGAGAATTTAGCAGCTGATGGACAATTATTTGTTGAAATGTGTGAAAAAGATAAAGAATTTTGTACTTCAGTAACAACAAGATCACCCCATAAAAAATTTATATGTTTAGAATTTTGGGTAGAAGATTTTGTACATGAACATAATCAATGGAAAGATGGCGGTTATATTGATAATGGCCAAAATATTAGTTGTTCTTTTAATCGTTCATTATTGAGACAATTAAGAGAAAAATATGGTATTAAACATTATTTTAAAAACTCTTCGAAACCATTAAAAATATAATTTTACATTTTTTGTAATATGTATTTTAAGTAATTAAATAGGATGCAATATAAATACCATGGATTTTAATAGAAAAAGCAGATATATACAATAAGATAATCTAACTGAAAACCTATTTTCTCAGCTCACGTTCGCACCCTATGAGTACAAATTTGTATTAAATGGAATCGTATTTCTTTTAAACATAACTATTCTAAGGGCGTATTTTCATTGACAACATAGTATACATTTCACATAAAATAAGTATAACTTAAGCAGTCTGAAATTTTAAAGAATGATAGATTACGGTGTGAATGTGCGTGAAAATGTTGGGTTTATCTAATCACATCTGTACCATTCTTAGTTTACAGTTTTTGCACTAAATTTTAGTCCGGAGCGTCTTGAGAGTGTGGGCGTGGGTGAAATAGAACACCCATACCCTCTGATACAGTAAATAAAGCAATGCATGTTATGAAAAGATGAATACAAACGTTTATATTATTACAAAAGCTAAAAAAGAATGTCAATAGTTCTTCATGAATCAGCAAAAATTCTAAACATCATTATTATTGTTTGTTCGAAGAGCCATATTAATACGAACTTCAGGTGTTACTGATCGCTCTTGTTGTAACAATGGTTGTCCTGCTGTTGTATATTCTTTATTCAATTGCTGATTAGATCGATTATAAATAGTATCACTCAGTCGCTTTTGACTGATTGAACTGGTTCCTAATAATAACATAAAATAAAGACGCGTTAGATATCAGGGAATTAGCAACGTTTTTGTTACTTGATGTGTCTTTAATGAGTGGAGGCTCTGATTCACCCATTTTCGCATTTGCCATTGCCATCATCATCCAATTCATTGATGTTGTTATCTATTTCCACATTTTAGGTAGGTGATATTAGACAAGTAAAAATAGATTAAACTTACTTCTTTCATATCTGTCATCCATCGATTACAACGACTTTCCATTTGAACAAATCGTGTTTGAAGATCAGTAATAGTAGATTTCATTGCCTCCAATTTCTCGTTATTCTCTATTTGTGAGTCTTCTAGATCCTTTTGAATATCAATCACGAGAGTTTTGATACGCTTTAATTCATCAGCATTGTTTGATGAGGATTCAGACCTATGTATGTATATCATCAATACAATATCCTCACCTTTGCTAGTGTCAACTTACGTAACATCTGTAGTCGTTCCCTTGACAAGTGCAGTAGCTTGATCATCGAGCAACTGTCGAATGTAACCATTGGTTGAATAGCGTTCAAATTCCGACCATGCATAATCAACATCATCATTAATTGGAATCATTTCTAAAACGAATACAACTAGGTAAATGCGTGCATTTTTAATTGAAAATATTATTTACTGAAACATTCAGATTGTTCTTCATAAGGTATTTTATTCACATAGCGATTTCTGTGTAATTTTCTCCAACACCACCGACAACATTGCATAATTGAAATGAGAAATGTGAATGGAGGAAACAATGCTGGTCGAGCGTGATAAGTACGAATAATGTCACAACGATCGTAGGCCCAAACATAACGTGCTTGTGTTTGAATATCATTTATTGTAAAACTAAAACATGATTTATATTAATTCTTTTTTTTCTCAATTATACATACCTGAATAAAGCAATTAGTAAGTTAATCAATAGTATATTAACAAAAAGCATATGAAAAGCGAATATGACTTGTGTCACTATAGTCGTACCAGAATCCGGTGTAGCTATGAAAAAAAATGAACGAATATATTTTTTCAGATAATATTTCTATACCTTCCAATTGTGTACGTTCATTATCGAAGCTACCATGAACAAAATAATAAACAGGATAAACTATATCACGAAAAATATTTCGACCTTTGAAATCAATACTACCATAAGCTGTCATGGATCTCGATGAAACTCCATAGCCGAAAATAAATATAACGATGACGACAATAAATAAAATAAGATCATTAGTCTACAACGACGATGAAACGGTACAAAATCATAATAATACAATCAACCTACCATTTTTCGAATCATCACAATTTTAGGACCAAGATCAGAAGCAATACCGATGAATAAAACCGAACGAATAAACGCTAGTTCTAAATCTAAAGCCATCACTATTCTAGAAAAAAAAGATACTTGGAATATTAAATTAATCATAAAGTGTACCGTGCAGATACAAAACTCTGGGTATCTTTTTGTGTAAAACGAAGAGCGAGTCCAATATAGAATAGAAGATATGCTGGCAGAACCAGAAATAAATTCGATATTCGATTATTCAAATCAAAATATGATCGAATCTTGCCAATTAACGACCGATTATCTTGAGACAATAACTATTCAATCAAAGATGTAGAACTGTAGTCAAAGAACAAAACACAAACCTGTCGAATTTCTTCAAAGAGCATGGTAGTTACGGTAATGATGGTTAATATTTCAGTCCAATGAATATTCGGATTCTCTTTTGACAATGGAAAGAATGCAAAAAGCATATAATAACTGAAGAAAAGTAGGAAAAGAACATAACCAAACTAAAATGAAACATATAAGAAAAAATTCTATTAAACATAATTGAACTTACACAAGTATAACAATATTTAACAATGGGTCGATTATGAAAATGGAAAAAATGCTGAAATATCGTTCCATGAGTACCATAATCATCAGTGTAATCGATACCAGTTTTTTTCAATCTGAATTTTTTTAAATAGCTATTGTGTCTTTGTTTTACAGAATACGTACTGTCGTTTTGGACGTTCGTGTTTGATGATCTATCAATGAACACAAAAAAATAAATAGACATAATATTCATTAACTTACATGGCTTTCCGGCTTCACATTAGTGTAAGTGGAAAAGTACTTCAGGTAAATCGATATAAAAAACTGAGAAATTCCAAATGTAAGTATATTAACAACAAGACGTTTTCGTTCTTGAACAGGATTAACTCTATCATACCATATATTCGTTAACAGAGCTTGACAAGCATCTTCATGTAAAAATCTTTTGTTATCTGCAGCAATGGCCATTTGAAGACATGTAACACCTCCATAGAGATTCGTACATCGCATAATCAATTCGCATGCTTTATGTTTATCATTAATATAAGCACATCGTACGAATTCGATAGCATGAGTTTCAAAATCATTCGCTTTAGCAAATAATGTATCTTTTGCAACTTGATCCGGTGCATAATCTGCTAATGATTTGAGAATTTTCGAAGCAATCAATGCCGAACAAATACGAGTTTTCAATTGACTCAAAAAGATTTTAGCC